GCTTTGAAATAGAAGCAGAACAATTGGGAAAAATTGTATTTCCTAATGTAGGAGGAAGAGGTGGGGACATAACTGCTGAGTTGGAGTGGTCCAGTTGGGGTGGGGAGAGGTAGGAAGTGACTTTATTTATTTATTTAGCATATCTACATGCCTGCCCATCTACCAAGGCACTCTGGGAAGCAAACAAAGATAAAATAGAACCAAAGTCTCAGTTCATTACACAAAACAAAACAAAACCAATTGCCTGGAGTGAAGAAGGCCTTTGACAGCATTGGAGGAGTTGGGGGAGGGGGGGGCGGTGAGAAATAAACTTATGGAGGTGTCTGGGAAAAACTAGGGAAGGGGCGTATTTCTGAGATTCATTTGGAGATATGAAAGAAGTAAGTTAGGTGAATTGATCTTGTGAGCTTCTAAGTATGTTGTAAGAGCAAAAACATGGGTAAGAGATAAAACCAAGACTGGATAAGAAATAAAATTGAGACTTCATACAAGTGGGTTTGTATTTTAGGTTTCTGACCCTATCTTTGCTTTGTATTCAACTTATTGGAACAAGTTATTTATACTTCAGCCTTTATTTTTCTTTTCTGAGCTTCTGTTGAAGCAGAAAAGAGTTCAAAGATGTGGGATTGCATTCTGTGGTTCAGACATCACCTCTACTATCTTTTAGCTCCAAAAGTTTTTCTTTTCTTTCATGAAATGGATTTCTATAGTAGCAGAAAATTATAGATTCAGAAGATTCATTCATGTTCTGAGGCTCAAACCAGACTCTGCCTTGTGCTCAGGTTCATTGGAAGATTAGTCTCCTTAACTGCACTAGTTTGCTCTTCTCAGAAAATAGTTTTTTGTAACTGACAGCTGTCATGATGTTGGTTATTCTGTGATGCTCCTCTCACAACAGCCATTTTCTGGCAGTGCCCATGATACTTTTACAAACATGCCCAAAATACCCACACCCCCAAAGACATAGTCAGACAATGCAGCAGATTAATAAAGCCTAAATTTCCTGATTAATTTGCCAGGGTGTGAAGTCCTGGAACAGGTCCATGGCTGCTGCCTCCAACAGAGAGTGTAGCTGCTCCCCATTGTGCTAGGATTTTCTTTCTTTCTTTCTTTTTTTTACAAAAACATTTTTCCCCATTAGCATGCAACTTTATATGCAATCTTAATACCATGGTTCTCTTGATTGTGTGAGACACATTTTCAACAGTTTATTGTTGGAGGGGAGTGTTGGTCCCTTTGACTCCTGGCAACTGCAGCCTTCTTGGCAAGATTTTCACAGGTGGTTTGCCATTTGCCTTCTTCTTAGGGCTGAGGGAGAATGACTGCCCCAAGGCTACTTAGCTGGCTTTGTGCCTAAGGTGGGACTAGAACTCGCAGTCTCCTGTTTCTAGCTTGTGCCTTAACCACTAAATCAAACTGCCTCTCAATTTATGGATTAGGATGTTTTAAACTGAATTTAAACTGAGTTCTGGATCTGGATTGTCATTGGTCACTTGAATTGCTTGTACATCAGGGATGGGAAGCTCTTTCCAATGTTAATGAACTCTTTTCATCTACTCAGTATCAAAAGTGCCTGCACAAGTTACTAAAATGTTTTAGAAAACTATCTATAAACAAACAGTAAGATAACTTATAATCATATGGGAAGTACATAAAACATATAACAGCTACCATTCCAATACAGTGTGGGCTCCTGAAATCAATCTGGCTACAAAATTATAAAAATACTTGGGAGAAATATCTTAGCCGAATAATACATCAAAATACTGTAGGTGCTTAGTGTGCCTCCCTGGGGACAGTATTTCAAAAGCTGTGTTCCACAACTAAAAAGGCTCCCCTCTCCTGTCTCCACCTACTTCTCTTCATTTGATAGAGGCACCTGAGGAAAGCCTCTAAAGAGGACCAAAGTTCCTGGGCAGATACATATGGGAGAAAACATGCTTTGAGGTACTTTGACTCCAAGTTGTTCAGGGTTTCAAAAATAAGCACCAAGATTCTGATGTTCAGCTGAACACCAACTGGCAGACAATGTAACTGACAAAGCACTGATGTCCCATGATTATTTTGGCCAGTACCAGTTAGGATTTGGGGATTATTGAATTTTTTGAGATTTTTTTTAAAGGAAATCAAAGTATAATGCATTCTATTAATCCAACCAGAAAATGTGAGAAATGCCAAGACATTCCTGATCTATTATTGCTGTTTGTGGCTCTTTAGCCGTAAGAGTCGATCCAGCTGTACCCAAAATTGTAAATGTATCTGGTTGCTTTAAGACCTCTGTTTGGGTATGAACAGGCAAGACACTTCTGCCAGGATAAGGACAAATATGTTGGGATAAGCAGTGAGAAAAGCAATAATTTGTCCAGACCTAATGTAAATTATTAGGTTCTGTTAGCTCCAGGGAGTCTATTTTAATTGATCCCTATCCTCACAAAGCAGAAAAATAACTAAAAGACTGCACCTAAACAGTTAGTGGTCTAAGAATGACAATAAGCGAAACGTTAGGTCATCTACTTCACCCTCTTCCTAGTTAGGTCTGAAAAAAAGTCTTATGTCTATCTACATGAGTTGACTGATGACATGTTAGTACAGCATCCTCATCACCAGGTATCATATGTAAAAGATGGATGAGAAATCCTTAACCTGAACCAAAGCTCCAGCATCAGATAAGAACATTCAGAATTGAGATTCCCATAAGCAAGAAGTCTGGAGATGGAAATGAAATTCTCGTGGGCCTGTAGTTCCCATTGTCTTTCATCACTGGCCATGCTGGCTAGGAAATGCTGGGAATAGTAGTTCAGCAGCATTTGAAAAATTGCAAGTTCCTCATGCCTTATGTAAACAAGTTGTTTAGAATTGCTGCACTTTTTACTCAGGTTTTCGAAGTATATTGCTTAGATACTATTCCAATGCTTAACATCTGGTACTCTTTTTTCCCTTATTATTTATTTATTATGCCTCTTGTCTACTGTAAATTATCAAAAGGCAATAGTGACTTCTCAGATCTACTGTATTTTTAATGACTAGCTTCCTACATGAATGTAATCCCTTGCATTGCTTCATGAAAACTGAACAGGGAACTGATGAATGGCTCATTAGTTTATCTTTAAATGATTCTAAATGTCAATTAAAGTTTCCTTGCCAAGGCATGGGTATGTATTTTTTTTTCATTGATGGTTGCCTCCTTTTTTTTTTTTAATTAAGGGGACACTGCTATATAGTACCCACATAACTGGAAACAGAACATGGATAGTAGATGGTGATGAATCTTATTGCTATGTTCAACAAAAAGCAATAAAAGGGGCTGAAATTGCGAGGATGAATGCTGTAGGATCTTTGCTGAACAGGAGTAACTTTTGATTTCTGGTCAGAACAGTAAAATAAAACTTTTTAATAATTAAAACAGTGTTATTTAAAGTGCACTGTGGAACTACAGTTTAATTCTTCTGATTATAGAAAAGGCAATTCCTCTGCAGCATTAAGAGACATTTGGGTAGTATTTGCTCAAGTGGTTTGCATATCCTTGTGTTTGTAATTTTTTTTTCTTTTTTGCTTTCTCTCTTGTGATCTCTCTCTCTTTCTCCCCTCAACACAATTGTATGTATACACAGCCAGAATCTGAAAACTGTTCATCATGCCATACCTTCTATACCCTGGAAGAAATGTCCCAAATACTCTGGGTTGCAAAATGATTCATCTTTGCCTTCAGATAAAAGGTTACTTACAGTCTGTTTTTGTTTTTATGAAATTCACTTCATTGTGTTTTATGAAATTCACTTCATTGTGTTTTAAATACATTGTTCAGAAAAAGTAACTGGGACTACAGTATAAAACCACAGCAAAAATGTGTGAAATACAGGTATAAAAGGCAATGCCAAAATAAAGCTGAAATGTAAATTCTGAAAAGCATTTATCAGTTGCTATTTACAGAAGCGAGGCATTCTATCATAAGAAACTTAAATTAGTATCAATTTATCAAAACTATACATAAAAATAAAAGCCTGGCTATTGTTTTCAAACAAAACAAGACTCATTTGGAACAGGGGAGAGGCAAAAGTGACAATTCTGACTATGGGCCTTGTCAATACAGTGTAGATTACTAATATTATCCCTCCCTAAACTATATTTGCTTTCAATATCCAGGTATTCCATTACAAGATAAAGAGGAAAATCTAGAACAAGACCGACCATAAACTCTGATAATATATTAGTTGATACCTATATAAAGATGAAGTATATTATTTTAAAATGTACTCGTGTCATATGGCTATCTTGTGGGCATTAAAAACTACACCAAACTGCTTCAGATTCCCTGGTTCAGAGAACCATCATCACTCTAATGTTCATGCACGAGTTGCCTATTTTGTTCAGTGAATAGAGCCAAGCCCCAGATTCCAAGGAATGTGGACACAGATCAGCTTCCTCCATGGAAGGGAATCAATCTGTGTTCAGGACTGATTAAACTGAGGACAGCAATCAATCCATGCCTTTGGGAAAAACCAATGTGTGCAATGTATTGGGTAGCTTGTGCTCATGAAAAATGATGAATCAAGTGTGAAGCCTCAGCAGTGAAAAGCCAATCCTAGAAACCACAAATTTAAAAGCCAGATATAGAAGAGGCCAACAAAGGGGAAGTAATACAGGTAGCTTTTGCACATTCATATTTTTAGGTGTATACTTCATCATTTTAAAACGTCTACTAAAAATGTGTACAGTATAAGTATGACAAATGTTGTTTGGTAAAATGTGTCATCTAAGCGCACCTATTAATGTGCCTGACGTGGTTGCGACTCCCTATTCAGTATATACCCGTGGCAAACTTGAATTAAATAATGTGTGAACAGCCTTTCACTGTGGAGTTCTTGGGGTTCTCTGAGCCTGGTTATATACAGTGGCATGCCCAGTATATAAACAGAGAGCACACCCCATCCCATACTAGCACTGAAGATGTTGCCTGGCGGGGTAACGAAACGTTTGCAAGAAAACAGCCAAGCTCAGAGAACCCCAAGGGCGCCACAGTTCAACCTTGAGCTACCCATATTCTCTTCTATTGGCAGCCCTTCACTGTTATTAAGTTGATGCACACAAAATTCTTCAAGCTGAAGTACAGAGACAAAACTATTATAAAAACAAAAGATGCACTTTTGAGTGCAAATTGAACAAAGCATGAGGTTTGCAAATATGATTTAACTTGATAGTACTGAGTTTTTCAAAAGAATACCTCCCCCAAATAACCTCAACTTTGTAGTTTTCCCTACAATACAAACAAGTGTATTGGTGGGGGATTTGTCATCAATTTTACAATCAGCAATAAGATGGGCCATTTATCAATAATGTGCCAAATTGATCTATAAAAAAGGTGTCATCCCAATTGGGCATGTTTTACAGAAAAACTTTGGACATATATGAAGCAGCCTTATGCAACTGAACCAAATGAAGCTAGGCTACACTGCATATATGTAGTTTGCCATGTGTTATTTATCATCTTATTGATCCATTGCTAATAGGACTAAAAGCTAACAGCATCAACATTCATAAGTGAAAATAGAATTTCACAGAATAGCCCTAATACAATGCCCTCCCTTCTACTAGGCCTAAAAATTACACAAGTGACGGTGATGTGTTTTTAAGGGGAAAAAAAACATTGTTGAACAGCACCACCCTGCCCTTTCCCAGGATTCCAACTTGCTTTATAAACTCAGTTGCATGAGAAACAGCACACCGCGCTGCCGTAAGGCAAAAGTAGATAAAAATACCACAGTACATATATATATATATAATTGTTTTAAACTTCACAATAGGCTTTCTTCTGTATTTCTCTAGTCAGACTTTGAAGTTGATTTACACTGAATCTGTTTAAGATTAGTTTACAGTTTTACTGAGAGTAGAACTGAATCATTGGCCCTTGAGATATTTTTACTTAAAAGATCTGGATTGGGGCAAAGCACTTTATGCTCCTGCAAATTAATTGGCGCAAGTGGGTTTTTCTTTGATTAACTCATGAAAATGGTATTTAATGAACGTAATAGCTACTTTGCTGCTTTATTTTCAGAGCAACACAACTTTAAATTCTTCTGGCCATACTCAGCTTCCATTAACTGAATCATGTGATCAGGGCATTCATGTCTTATCATTTAGAAAAAAAATAAATATTTTTTTCTGTTGAGACAAGGATTTGGTAGAAAAACAAGTGATTTTAACCTGTCCTAGGTATAGGTTATTGATTTAGTGAATATACCAAATCATTACAAAAAGCTTTATGGTGTAAAAAGTATGTTTTCAAAACAGCATAAAAACATGTTAATTTTGTCTTTCTAGTTTTCAGTCAAATTCAGAGATGAGTGTGCACAATTAACTGACTTTAATGGGAGGAGAGGGAGGGAGTGGGATTTTGCAAGAAGCAGCTGCTAGCAAGAAAAAGGTTCTTCCACTTAACTAAAAAGTTTCTGTTTACTACACTAACATTTCTGATTACCTATGTTTGCAAAAAACCACTATTATCAATATAAAATTGTATTATGTGTGCATGCTACAAGAAGAGTTCATTTCTGGCAGCCCATCCTTCTGATATGTATTTTTATTGAATACTGTCTTGTTCATTGTGTTTTTCTTTTTCTTTTTCTTTTGTGGCTGCTGTTCATGTAGCTCCCGTTGTATGACCAAATACTATATACAGCAAAAGTTTTAATTCATGTGGAAGCGGTGTTCCCCTCGAGTTATGTGAGAAGAGAACTCATACCTGTCCTGGCTGTGATAGCCACACATATTACACTCAAAAGGATCACGGAACCCATGACAGCCCATGTGGATGGTATACATTACATGATCTAGAAACAGAACTCTACAGTGTTCACATTTGTAGACTTTTACTTGCTCCCCACTGCCATTGATTACTTTGAAAGCATCTTGCGAGCTGTCATTGCTTCCTCTCAGGAGATCATACTGCCTGTGTTCTTCTTTTATGGACAGGCCATTCCGTGCATGAGGTGCTATGTGGTTTGTTAGATATATTAAACCACTACGTTCTTCATTATTGCTCTCGGTATCAGTGGAGTCTTGGCAGCTGTTGCTGGGTGAAGGGTCCCTTTCTGAAGAGATGGACTTGCTTTTAGAAAGTAGTAGCAAGTTTTCCACTGCACTGTCCTGAGCTGCATGATTGGCTCGAGCATGGTTGTCTCCAAGGGGTTTGTGAAGCTGATACATTGGACTGATGACAGGCACTACTTCAGAGCCACCAGGCGGTGTCTGCACCAGAGGGCGCAAAGATTCTGCCCCTAGATAGCTGATGGCATTATTAATAGCCTGGTCGATGACATGGGTTTGCATCATATCATTCTCCTTCTCATAATTGGTGGTTGCATCATAGGGAATATCAGATACACACTTCTCACCTGCAATCCAAAATTGATCAAAGTTAGGCTTGGGATTGAAATATTCTTCAAGATACAGTACGAGCACTGGCCAATCAGAACTTTCAGTGACACAGAAAATAAGAATAATCTGCACACAAAGATACTAGGTTGAGAAGGCATGCACACATGCAAAGATTCTGAAATGAAATATTTCTAACACATTTTAGCAGAATCTCTGGAATTCATTTGAACTTTCCAATTTTCTGACATGCTTGTGACCGTTATCCTGTTTGATTAATATAAGTCATGATTTGAAGACCATTCTGGGTCAAAAACAGTTTAAACTTTTAAAAGCTAAATATTAATAGAACAAAGGACCTAAAACTTATTTTAACGCAGCTAAATTGCCATTTTGATTTTTTAATTTCTATTCTAATTTCCTAGAATCTCATTCCCATTTTAACATTCCAATACTATTGAGTTTTATGCGTATTCAATCCTTTACCTTGATATTGATATTTACTACAGCTATCCTGATGTGCAGTGAGCCAGATTAATTCTGGTCTCTGATTCTGAAATCTAAATTTGCCATACATTGTGTGAAATTATCATGGATCTCTCTCTCCCTATATTTCACAGTTGCTCATTAAGACTTTTCCCCCCACTTAACAAAGGAGTTTTTATTTGCCAGCCTCTTCTATGACCTGGGGAGGGGGCAAAATGCAGTGCAGAGCTGCTGCCTGCCTCTGTTTTGGTAGTCCTCAGAATAGCGGTGGCGCAGCGGCTTAATGATGCTGAAAGTTGCCGGCCAGAAATGGTCGACGCTTCAGCGGTTCGAGTCCA